TTGCATAGTATTCCATTGTGTGAATGTACCAAAGTTTGGTTATCCATTCCTCAGTTGTTGGTCTGCCAACTTTTTGTAATGAAATTTTCAAAAATACACAAAAGTTGAAATGATAGTATAATGACTACAGATATATCTTAGAAAAATTGGAAGTTATATAAAAAATGAAAGGGAATGCACAGAGATCGATATCCTAGGCATTAGTGAACTGAAATAAACTAGTTTTAGCCATTTTGATTCAGACAATTTTATGGTCTACTATGCCATGAATGACAAATTGAAGAGGAATAGTGTTGCATTCACTGTCAAAAAAAAAAGTTTCAACATCTATCCTGAAGTACAAAACTGTCAGTGATAGGATAATATCCATATGCCTACAAGGAAGACCAGTTAATACTGCTATCACTCAAATTTATGCACCAACCACTAAAAGCAAAGATGAGGAAATTGAAGATTGTTATGAACTTCTAGAGTCTGAAACTATAAGACATGCAATCAAGATGTATTAATGATTATTGGTGATTACAATGTGAAAGTTGGAAACCAAGGAGACTCATCAGTAGTTGGAAAATATGGCCTTGGTAATAGAAATGACACCAGAGATTGCATGATAGAATTTTGCAAGACCAACAACTTATTCATTGAAAATACCTTTTTCAACCACATAAATGCTGGCTATACATGTAGACCTCACCAGATGGAATATACAGGAATTAGATGGACTATATCTGTGGAAAGAGGCTCAATATCTTCAGCTAAAACAAGGCTGGGAGCTGACTGTGGAACAGACCATCAATTGCTCACATGCAAGTTCAAGTTGAAGGTGAAGAAAATTAAGACAAGTCCCTCTGGTCTGATAAAGCCTGGTGGAACCACTGAGACTATGGTCCCTAGCTGCCTTTCAGGTCTGGAATTGAACCCACGCCTGTGGCTTCCAGACAAACAATAGATAGGCATATGAGTTGAACATTTTTAGGTAGATACACTCTTTGGAGAGAACAATCATGGGAGAAAGAAGGGTTGCACAGGGAGACAGCTCAGGGGGCAGGAGTGCATGGAGGGATGGACACAGGGAAGAGGTAACTATCAGGAGGAAGTATGAGGGGTGAGACGTTGCATTGTGGTAAATTGTGGTCAATGTCATGAGACAAAGTGTATGTGAACTGCTGTATGGAAAGTGAATTTGCTCTGTAAATTTTCACCC